CCCGCCACTCCTCCAGCCTGTCCCTGGAACAGCGGTGGCCTTACTACAAGTCAGGAGGGCTAGCGTATCTCTTCTCGGGCTGCCTCAAACTTAAAAAGCGCGTCACGGCCCCTTCGGACAGGAAGGCCGCCGTGCCGCGGGGGCTGCGCGGGCTCGTGGCCAAGGCCCGCGGGGTCACTTACAGGCGGTGGGCGGTCCTGGCGCGTCGCAGCCGGGCTCCTCCGTCCCCGTCGGGGCAGGCTCCCCGCGCCCCTCCTCGGAGGCCGGGCAGGCGTCTCCCCCCCGGGAGGCCTTCACTGCCGTCTGAAGGCCCTCGGCTAAGAGGTGGGAAAACCAAGTAAGCGCACACACGCACACACGGGGGGGCGCAAAATACACTTACAGTTGTTCACACGGAAAAGAATACAAGAATTAATCAATAATAACACAAGAATAAACTCTGTGTTTTGCATACTCACAACTATAAACTCACTGTGCGTATTTTTTTTAATCTAGACCAGAAGTTGGCAAACTATATTTGGCCTGTGTCTGCTGTTATATGGCCCAGGAGCAAAAAACATGGTTTTTACATTTTAAAGAGTTGTCAAAATACACACAGAATAATGTGTCCCAAAAACTATATGTGGCCTACAACGCCTAAAATACTATCTAGCCCGTCACAGAAAAAGTTTGCCAGCCTGCAATCTAGACCAATACTTTAAGAATCATTTTATGATAGAGAATTCAATTAAAAAAACAAGTTTCTGGTATAAAAATACTTCAAGTGCAACTTTCAGTAAATTAGTATGCTGAAAAATTCAGTTAATTTAAATATGATTTTGGGAATTAGGATTTTAAGACTTGCTACCCTGAAATGTTAGCTGTTCTTCAAGGGTATTTCTCCAGCCCTGGCCGGTGTGGCTCAGCTGGTGAGTGTCCTCCTGAGCACTGAAGGGTGGCTGGAGGGACCCCCGTCAGGCAGACACCCAGGTCTCGGGTTCGATCATGGTTGGGGTGCTTGCAGGAGGCAACTGGTCGATGTTTCTCTCTCACATCGATGCCTCTCTCTCTTTTCCTCTCTCTCTAAAATCAATTTTTTTAAAAAGGAAAGAAGAAAGAGTATTTCCCCAAACATGCCTTTCGAGAGACCCTCACTCCTCGTGGTAGGCCTACGGGGTCATGGATCCTCTGGGGGAGAAAAAGGGGATTAGAACTTTAAATAAGCACCGAAGATTTTAAATGAGGTCTTTTATTTACACTAAAAGCTTTCCAACTAGCCTGTGGACCACTCTGTGGTCTGTAATTTACCAACCCTGGTTCTGAACAATAGCTTTCCCTGCCTCTCAGGTGGAGGCGGTTTAACCCAAGCTCTTTGTCCCTATTGTCCCTTCCAGCCCCATTTGCCCCCTTAAGTCCCTTTTTACCTTAAAATGCCCCTTACACCACTGCCTAGCCGGTCCTTGTCGCCATTCCCCCTTGAACAATGGAAGCCCCTGGTGCCATTTAACCCCTTCCCACCCCGCTCCTCTCGAAACTCTCCGCGTTCCCGCTCTGCGAGCACCAGCTCCCGATCCCCTGGCATTCCCTGAGCTTGTCTCCCAAGGGCCTCAGCCACAGCTCTCAGCTACACCCTGGACACGGCTATTCTCCACACAGCAGTCAGAGGGTTTATTTTAAAACACCGAGTAAATCGCTCCTCTGCTCAGAATTCTATCAGGCTTCCCATCTAGCTTAGGACGGCATTCAAAGCCCCGACCCCCACCCCGTCATCTGAGTCCTGGCTAAGTGGCTCACCGCCCGCCGCTCCCAGCCCTCACTTCACTTTGCCTGCACTGTCTTCCCTGCTGTTCCTCAGACAAACCTGGCACTCCCCTGCCTCGGGGCATTTGCCGCCGCTGTTCCCTATGTCTGGAACATTCTTTCCCAGATTCCATCTGGATTTTCAATTCCTTGTGTCTGCTTATATATTTCCATATCAAAGGAGGCCTTTGCTGTCCACCCCAAACTAAAACCTTCCCAGCTCCGTTATTCTCTATCCCCCGCACCCTGCTCACTTTTCTTTAAAGCACTTGACACANCTTCCCAGCTCCGTTACTCTCTATCCCCCGCACCCTGCTCACTTTTCTTTAAAGCACTTGACACAACCTGATATATTTATTTCCCTACATTCTGCTGTTTCAAGAACATAAATTCCAGGAGGGTCAGGACTTGGTCTTACTGTGCTGTATGCTCAGCGCCAAGACCACAGTGCACGGCTCCTAGTGGGCAGCCAATAAACATTTTCTGAGTTTGTCAAACCAAATCCTTTTGGAAGCAACTTACCTTCCTTCAGTGCTGCTGCCAATAAGGAGGCTGCCTGGGGAGGCTCTCCGGGGTCAGGTTTGATCAGGAGGTGGGGCTCCAGATGGACATCTTCAAACCCACTCAGCTCTCCAAGCTCAGCATAGATATGCAGCTTCTCCTCCAAATACGTACAAATTTGTTGGTCTTGATTACAGAGTATTTCTATGAAACAGTATTTACCATAGAAGGTTATTGCATAGATTTAACAACTAATATGAACATCCAAATTACAAGACAAAGAAATTGCCAATTAGCCAGCAGTGTGACCTAACAGGTAAAATAAAGTTGTTGGGTGGGACAGATCCAAGTTCAAATCCTAACTACTCCATGAAGTGCCTGTTGCCTCCAGCACATAACTTAATTCTCTGAGCTTCCGTTGTATTTTCTATAAATGAGGTACTCAATGAATGTCTGTTTCCTTTCCCAGTCCCTAATTCCAGAAAAACTTGCAAAGCTATTCTTGTTTGGGGCTGTTTTCTATTACGACTGAACACGAAGCCCAGGAATGACAGCGAGGTGGCTTATCCACAGTGAGGGGAACCCACGAGGGAAAACTAAGCAAAGGCTGCGACTGCTCGGGCTTCAGCTAGCCTTGGTCAAAACCAAACACAGTTTATGTTTTTATTTCTAAACGTCCAATTTCTTTGACCATCTTTGCAGGCATCTCTCTCCTCTGATTTCAACATGGATTCTTCAAGCTTACAGGGACCTAACCAGCAACTAATCCAGGGGTTCTCCACGCTCTCTGCCTCAGAATCACCTGGGGAGAGTTGAAAATACTAACGTCTGCACCCCACCTCCGACAGATTCTGACTGAATTCGTTGAAGGTGGGGCCCAGGCATCAGAATTTTGAAAGACACCCCACCACCACCACCCCCTCAAGTGATTCTAACATCCAGCCAGAGATGAGACTCACTGAGGTGACCTAATTTCCGAATGTCACCAGCTTGGAAACTGAGGACAGAGCTCCTGTGTTCCTTGTTTGTAGTCATAAAACTATGACCTGACGGTGCTGGGCCTTAAAATTAACCACTGGAAACAGTTCTGAGGCCCACTGGCGCCACACCAGTGACTGTTTCATATATGGTATGTGCAGAATTTTTTAAATACATATATTTTTACATTAAATATTATTTGTATTAGTTTCAGGTGTATAGCACAGTGGTTAGACAATCATATGCTTTTCAAAGTGTTCCCCTGATATATACAGTACCCACCTGGCCCCATATTACAATATTATTGACTGTATTCCCTGTGCTGTACTTTACACCCCAGTGACTATTCTGTAACTACCAATCTGAACTCCTTAATCCCTTCACCTTTTTACCCAGTACCCTCCCCTCTGGCAACCATCAACATGTTCTCTGTATCTATGAGTCTGTTTCTGTTTTGTTTGTTCATTTATATTTTTCTTTAGAATCCACATATAAATGAAATCATGTGGTATTTTTTTTTTCGGGCTGACTTGTGTCACTTAGCACAATACCCTCTTGGCCCATCCACGCTGTTGCAAATGGTAAGATTTCGTTCTTTTTCGTGGCCAAGTAATATTCCATTGTATATATGCATCACTGTTTTAAAAATGTATATAGTCTTAATCACCGAGGAAGCAGGGAGAGATGCATTTTATTTAAGCACTTCTAGTACCAGTACTCTTTTTGAGAGTGGTTAGGGGGGCCTTGCATGCACAGAATTGGATTAGTCAGTCAGCCATAACTTCCCATTCATGACACTTGGGCTTTATAAACATCCACGGACACACACAGCAACCAGGGAACCAGAGGTGCCACACCATACCTTGACATTGCTGAATTTTGGCCACTCTAGCTTCAGCTTTCCTCCTCTCTCCATCAGAGTCACCTGTCCTTCCCCCTTCTTCTGGGCAACTTGAAAAGACAACAGTCAAGAGACACAACTGAAACCAAATCCAAGTATCTTTAGGTTCAGTAGAAAAACATGGGACCTGGCAATAGAACTATTCAAAGAAAAATTCAGCATAAAGAGAATTCATCATGCCCCTGGCCAAGAGATTTGGTTTCCTTGAGCATATAAAGGACCTAGCATAATGTAACATAGCTCTCAAGCCAGCAGCACAGGCCGACTCAAGCATTCTAGCAAACACACACACACGAACATACACTCCTGTACACACACACACAATACTAACTAAAACAATAACTTTTGCTTTCTACTGCCGTTGGGCAGCTCTATTAATGGGGCAGAGTAGAGGAGTTGCAGGGAATGGGAGGAGGGCGTGAGGTTGGGTGGGGTACAGTGGTGATGCAGGAATTTCATGTAACATCATTCAAGATCTAACAGATCAAATTACCACTACGAATGATCGCCCCATTAATAGAG